CTGCCTCTGGCCAGTGACGAGGTGGAGCGTGAAGTCCCAGGATGCACATACGTAGTACCAAAACACTAGCCCCAAACCTATACGCATATGGGAGGATTAGGCCAGCAGGTCCCCACGTAAGCAGCGTTCACGTAAAACGTGAACAGCACAAATCCCGCTCCTGCTCAGCAGCTAATCATGCTTACAGTTTGCTAGCAGATCGCACATGTTTCTATCTAGCGTCCAGTCTTCAGAGCTGTGGTCTAGCTCTCAGACCTCTTGTCTTCCTGTGTGGTTAGTCCAGCTTGAAGTTCACTAGCAGATCACACACACGTGCTCTTACAAAGGAAGTAGTTTATGAGAACAGACCGCAGCAATCACCAGGCAAGCGTATTGACCAGCTATACACATGATCAGCACATTCTGTTTCCCTTTTTCCCATTTTCCTGTTCTTGGTCCACCCTGATCCACCTCACCCTACGTGACCTCTTTACAAGGTCACGTAGCGATAGGACAAAGGGTAATGGCTCCAGGCTGAAAGAGGGTGGGTTTAGATTAGATGTAAGGAAGAAATTCTTCCCCATGAGGGTGGTGAGGCACTGGCACAGGTTGCCCAGAGGAGCTGTGGATGCCCCCTCCCTGAAGTTTTCAAGGCCAGGTTGGACAAAGCTCTGAGCAGCCTGGTCTAGTGGAAGATGTCCCTGCTGATGGCAGGAGGGTTGGAACTATGCGATCTTTAAGTCCCTTCCAACCCAAACCATTCCATGATTCTATGATTGATTCTTCCTTTTCCCTGCGTTTATTCCTTTCCTAAATATCTCACAAGTTTTACTCAGTGTCACAATCACCCTCAAACATTCTATGAGAAGTTTGCTATTTCAATGAGACCTGTGATAGTCTTGGGGTTTTTTATTATCGATTAGATGGTTGTCTTACTGGCTACAAAGTTTCCAGCTGAACCTCTTAAGAGTTGCACTAAAGCAGTTCCTTGCAATAGCCCTTCCATCAGCGTGTGAGGAATTCTGGTGTTTGGTACTGTTCGTTAGGATTTGTGCATCTGTGTGCTTACTTTATTGCCTCTCCTGAGTTTGTCTCTTATATTGAGTAGATATCAGCCAGATAAACCAGCTTTCTGGTTTACTTGTGGCCTTTCTGGCAACCGAGTACAAGTAGCGTAATAAATTGCATTACAAAGCTCAGCAGACAGAACTGCCATTTATACATGGAAAATAGAAAACAAGCAAAGCTGTACTCATGAACTTCGGTAGCAATGCAAAATATAGAGCCAGAGAACGATAAGCCCTAAGCCTGTCTTTCAATGACTAGCTCGGTCTACGGTGTCTTTCTCTTAATCAACAGTGTCTCCCTTCTTTTAATTCTATTTTTTAATAATTTCTCTTATTTCCCCTTTGTAATGTCTTTGTCTTAGTTGTACATCTGGTAACAAAAGGCAGTCCAGCTCTTTGACTGACCTCACCTCAGACAGTACCTGGGATCAGCAAAAGCCTCACTTGTTTGCTAAATCCTGCTTGAGGCCAAAAAGTGCTTCATCTCCCTGGATTCCTTCCATCACCATCCCTCAGCCCTTCAAAATGACAGTGCGGGAAGCTCGCAAAAAGTCCCAGCTGATGAAGTCATACATGTTTCTTGAACTAGACAAACAGAGAGACAAAAGGCAAAGCCAGGATGAAGCCGAATGTCAGAAGCAGTTCCGGGCACAGCCTGTACCTGCCCATGTATTTCTGCCCCTTTATCAGGAAATAATGGAGCAGAATGAGATTCGCAGGCAAATAGCAACACAGAAAAGAAAGGAGCTGCTACTTTCAACCCAGCGGCCCTTCAGTTTTCTGGAGAAGGAGGAGAAAAAGAAAGAAGCTATCAGACAAAAGTTCCTGGCAGCAGCAACCCCAAATGAGAGGTCCAAACAGAAGCAAGACAGTAAAAGAGTTCCTAAATCTACTTACAATCCACTTCTTGGAGATAAACTCAAAGGTAAAATGCCAGGGCTTTTCCTGTAAAAACAACCCCCTGCCTGTCCCTTGCTGTCTCCATGCTCAGAGGTGGGATCATGGCCCATAGGACATTACTTGGAGTATAAAGCCACAATCATTACATGCCCTGATGTTGTCTGGCCTCCTGTGGATCACTGGTCATTGCATTTCATCCAGACACCCTTACAGCAGTGTCCTAAATTTAGTAGTCTTGTATCAGTGTCAGCAGCAGCAGTTCTGTACCACTCCCCAGCACACATGGGTATGCTGAGCTCTTCAGACAAATTTCCATGCCTCTTTTGCTGCAAATTAAGGCAGTTTGGGAATCTTTCCCTGCACTGAATTCCATACCTTTGGTTATGCTAAAGGGACTTAGATGATTTGTGGCACAAACTTGAAGACAGATGTAGTGCCAGAAGCGTCCAAGGTATATGCATTATCTTGGAACTGACAATTTTATTCCCACCCAAGTGATCTGTGCTGCATAGAACCCCTAGGAGAAAAATATTTCCTGAGCCCAAATCAGGTAATTAGTTCAGTTCTAAGTGACAGTGCAGTAGTCCAGCCTCTCCTGCCATTCACTGGTGATCTCAGTTACCTTCCCATTCGCTCTCCACCTTCTTCTGAAGTGCTAAAACAGGGGAGGTAGGTGCCAGGACCGTTCTAGTCAGAGGGACAGCCAAGGAAATTTCCCTGATGCTTGCTTTCTTTCAGATGGCTTAAGCCCCCACAGTTCTAAGTTTGAAGTAAGCAATACAAACTTTATGCTTGAATATAGGAACTAAACCAGTCCTTGATAATTGTTACTGCTTTTCTCGCCCCTTTCTTTTTTTTGCTATTTCCCACTGGTTTCTTAAGTATACAGCAGTTCAGTTTTCATCAGAAAACATTCTGTTGTGGTGTACTAAACTAAATAGATAAGAAAGGTAAAAGAGAGCAAAGAACAAGCCATAGTTCTGTTTCTAACTGGTATAAGAGAAGGGAGGAGGAAGGAACATTTCATGCCTCAGTCAATGCAAACTTATAAATAGACTCAAAAAAAGTCCTATTTTGCAAGCAGCAGCTTTTTTTTTTTTTCTAAAAGCAAAACCCAAACCCACAGCTGACTGTGTGTCTGCATTTTCACAAATATTTAGTACTGCACAGGAAAGGACTCAGTTTGACATCACACCCTGAAATGCATTCTTTCTATAGAAAGTTTGTCACAGAAGTCACAAGACATGATCCATCCACCAAATGCTTCTTACTTAAAATCTTTTCCAATATAGACAAACACTGCTGGATATTACACAGAAAAGCCATCATCCGTGACAAGTATTTCTGAACAGCCTGTTTGGATCACACAGTCAAAAAGTCCCATATGAAAAGTAGAATTTTGATCAACACGTCTGCAAGACAAAGGCCACAAGTTATCTGGTACCCCAAAGAACAGGAATAGGAGGAGAAGACCTGTTTGGTAACTTACTCTGATAAGTGAAAGAGAGATCTAGAGATTAATGCCCGAGAAAGAGACTCTACCATGTTTTTTCTGGTATCTTTGAATTTTTTTTTCCCAGGAGGCAGAGGAGGGAGAGGCTGGAAACTGGGGAAAGAGAACACAGGATGGCTGGTCTCTCCTATATGTGTAGCTGCCATCATAAAGAAAAGTTGAGTTGTGCAGTGGCAATCTCACAGCCTTTTATGTCACTCATATTCTTCTCATTGCTTTGCTTTTGATTCATTAGAAGCTGAACTCTACAGAGAAATCCGCATTCAAATGAGAGCGAAGGATTTGCTTGAGAGCTCCGTAGCTCCTATAGATACTAGCGACTGTCGGAGGGAGCCTCAGTCCCGAACTGCCACTAAAACTAAGCAGGAAAGACTTGGCTTCTTGCAGGACAAAAGTTTCAGTTTCAAGCCAAGGATTAATCCAACAATACCAGATTTTGAAGGACTTTACTGGGAATTTCAGAGGGAAGCAGTAAGGAGACAAGAAATCAAAGAGGCAACTCGTAATAAGCCATTCAAGCTAAGAACCTCCAATCTCCGTGGCAGGCAGAGGCAGGCTAATGAACAGATAAAGGTGAGATGATGGGATATTTTTGTAGTAGTGCTTTCTCTGATCAAGATGGCACCTTATTAAATATATAGCATTTATTTATGGATGGTTAATGTCCTGTGACCTCTGCCCTTGTCTTGGGAGTACTGCAGAATTCTAGGACAAACCAGAGAACAAAATTCTACACAGAGAGATGAGCTATGACAGCTAAGGCTCAGCCACACTTCCATACTCCTAGTCACCTCTCCCTCCCCTCAGTCCCTACTGATGGAAGAGAGAAGAGTGAGTGCATTGCTCACGTACCCCAGCTGTTCTCTTTGGTAGACAAAGAACACAGGATATTCTGTACTGTGAACAAATACACTGAATGAAGTTCCATTTTTTTCAGGATTCTCAGCAACTTTCCAAGGTTTCAGTGCAAAAAAGTCATTCTCTGACCGGACTTTCCTCTCTCTCTTCCAACACCCTTCCAGTGCATATTACAGATGCAACTAGAAAAAGGGAATCTGCTATTAGGTAAGTAGAAAAGTTTGTGTACAAGACCATACACCAATTAATGACCAAAATGGAGGGGAAAACGTCATTGTTTTCCCTCATCACATCAACTACATTGACAATACTTTCACTAAATGTTTCTGTCTTTCTTTGCTAATTCTTACCTCGCCTCCCAGTTGATTTGGGAGCTGCACACTTGTATGTCTGAAATTTTGCTTTTCTCTTTAGAGGACTACAGAAGTGAAATTCCCCACTAGCATGTGGTCTGGCAGTCTTAAGTGACTCATTACTAACTTTTTTCTATATAGATACTCCCAAGATAACAAAAAGGAAGGGGACAAAGAAGGAATTTATTGGCAGGAGAAACAGAAAAAGAGATGTCAAGCTATCCGAAAGTCAGTGAACAGCCGAGCAAAAGCCCTGGACCCACATAAAAGTCTGGAGAAAACACAGAAGGAGAAGTTGAAACAGAACTGGTCAGTATCCTATTCTGCACAGAAATAACCATTTGCTCTACTTACTGGGGATCACCAGAAAATTCTTCAGGAGGAACTGGGTCTAAGAATATTCCTAGCCTAACTTTTTTGGCTGTCATACCCATCCTACATTCATTTGGATTTCTTGACAATTCCACATTACTCTTTCCATATAGAATAGTTTCCTTTAGATTAACATTTGTAGAAACTAATTTGTACAAACAAGCCAACTGAAATGATAATTTGGTAAAGTACACATAAGACAAGGTTTTCTAAAAATGTGAACACTGATTCTCTGGTTACAGTCTAGTAGTAAAGCTTTGCTAATGGGTCCGTAACTTGCCAGCAATAGGATTTTTTTGCCCAGCATTCGGAATCAAGAGAATTACCAGAGCTATGTGAAGGACGAAACAGTTATTGAGAATTCCTTGTTCCTGATCAGCTACAGCTAGAGCGAACCTGTATTGGACAGGAAATTTTCCATTTCAGGCAAAATATGAGAGAGAGAACAAAGGAATACAGAAAGGAGCTGGAAGAAATGCAGCTGCGAGTCAAGAGCAGACCGTACCTCTTTGAACAGGTCACCAAGGTAACTGGTCAAAGTTTCAGAGTGCTTCTGGGTGACAGGATACATTGTCTTTCACTTAAGACAGGCATTAAGAAGTCTAGTCTCAAGTAATTAATGGATAAGAAGGTGTGAATGGTTGCATAATCTCATGACTACACTCAAAATAACACATGGAAGGGCCACCCAAGTATAATTTAGATTCCTTCCCGCCACTTGAAAAAACGCTCAGATTTATTTCTTGGTTGTAGAGCTTTCCAGTCCCTAGAATATATTGCAATCAAAATGTATGGTTTGATCAAAATTAAGGCCTTATCACATCAGAAATTATATGAATACCTATTCTGCATGTGAATACCATAGCCTACAGTCTAGAAATTTTAAGCTTTTTTCTTAAAACCCTCTCCAGTTTAGCACTTTTTCTTTGTACCTCTAGTGCTACTAGAAAAACAGTAATGACAGTTATGTTGCTTATATCACTGCCAAGCTCTGCTGTCTGGGGTTGCGTTCAGCACATCTCATCCATCACACAGTACCATCTGCAAATCTACACTGCACTTGAGGTGTAGGTACAAACTTTACTCTCCATAAAGTATCTTTTTTTCTTCGATTTTCTCTTTCAGTTCTGTCTTCTTGCAGGGATGATAGCTGGTTAGAGACATAGGGACAATACATTGACAATATGCTGATTTAGATTTCTTAATAGAAAGTACCCTCCTGGGTCAGACTTTCTGTTCAGGTGAGTGGTTAATGGAGACAGAGAACACATTTGTATGATAAATATTGGTAACATTTCCATTTGCCAGGTTGGTAAGAATTCACCGGTATTGATAGCATTCACTCATGCTGAGACAAGTTTTCTGTCCTTCCACATAGAACACCTTAATCTTCAGGAACTGGCCAGTCTCTCTGGAAAACAGTCATCTTAGATGACATTAATTTGCAAGGTTTATGGGGAGGCAGTGAGGATCTAGGATCCAGGATGCTTGGTTTTCACTTTCTTGAAGATGGGTTGATGTGAAGCTATTTCATAGGTGCTCTGCGTTTATTGAACTCCACTGTCATTAGTGCTTACAAATTACAAGCAAACACGCTTCCAGAATGTCTCACAACCCTTTTTTGCACATCTTCTTAATTTGAGTGTCAGAGTCAGGACACAGTATGCTAGTCTGGTAAGACTGGAATTCTGTAGAAGCAGGAGAACAGAAGACGGAATTAAAAAATGACAGAAGCAAGAAAAGTTGAGCTCCAGCTTTGAGAGATGTGAGACATTCTCCTAGTCTTCAGGTTTAGTACTGTACTGTATGGGTGACAAAAATTGTGGATGAGGGCTTTGCTGTACTCTTGTTCTCACTAGGAGTGTCAGCCATGAACCTTAAAACAACGTGACCATTATGGAGAAGCCCCAGTTCTACATGCTTACTGTTTTAAGTTTCGATTTCATAGCATGATGCTCGTCAAGGAGCAGAGCGTCGCTACAGACACACCCTCCAGCAGGTGGGGCTAAGCGAAGAATTTGTAAGGAAAAAAGGGCAAGATGCCACTGACTTGCTGGAAGAAGAATCTGACATTCACAGGTAATAAAAACATTGCAATACAGCTCCTTTGCCTTTGAGTAGAAATATTTTGCTCATTCATGAAAGCATTCCGGTTTGTATCATCTAGTGCAGGCAAAATTAAATCAACTTCACTCCTCTTATTAAGCATCATGGCTTCTCTATCTTAGCTCCTATGGATGCACTCTATTTCTCATGCATGGGGCAAAGCAGTAAGTAAGCACTGCAAACCATTTCTGGTATTAGACAATCACTATTTCTGCAGAGCGCCCAAGCCTCGGGGTGAAAAGGACAACTGTACTGTACAGGAAGGAGAACCTCAAGAGGAACAGAGTGGAAAAGAAATGGCAACGTGAGATCTAGCAGAAGAATCCATCAATCATATCTTGATTTTTTTTTTTTTTTTTTTTAATTCAAGATCCTCCAGGTTAATCCTCAGGAACTTTCTGGTTTACACTGACACCTAAGAATTGCTCTGGGGTAAGTGAGATGCGAGAACTTAGTAAAGGAAAAAAACTCCAACTGTTGTTTAGAGCATGTCTGGTCCAACCCAGCAAACCCTGCAGCCTTCCTTAGTCTTCACAAGTGTTCCTCCTGTTAGTAATTTCTCTTTCTTTAATGGGAAACAAAACAAGTTAAAAAGGTTGATGCACTATCTTTGGATAAAAGTAGGTATGAAAGATTGAAGAAGTGCATCGTCCAGCGTCAGCTCCTTGTGTTCATGCCACCGAAGCACACAGAAAGGGGAGAATGCCTTCTAGTGTGCCCAACCTTGGTTTACACATATATATGGTAGCATGCTTTTAAACAAAGTATTTCCAAAAAAACCTGCAGGATTTGACTCATCTTGGGAGAAGACTCGGAGGGAAGTCCTTCTCTGGTTCCTTAACGCTTCATTCACTCGTTACCAGCTCTGCTCCTTCCTCCCACTAGGAAGAAGCAATAGTCTTTCTACAGTAAAATATCTCCCATACTTCATTATTTGAAACTGTTTTAACATCTTACCAATTTAGGTCATTAATTTGGCCTGAAAAACAACCAAAATTATGAAGAAGTTTTTAATTAAACAGTGTATACTTTGGATTGCTGTTGTCCTAATTCTGCAATTACTGTGGTAGCAAAGATGGACTTTGGTGGAAGAAAGAGTAGGTATTACTGTCGCGTTAAAGGGGGGGTAAGGGGAGTCTGATATTCAACTAGCCTGCCAGAGCCCTTCCAAGGACTTTCACTGAAACAGTTTCGCAAAGTTGAAACAATAGGTAATTTATTCAAGCGACAGTTATCACAGATTCGGAATTGCCGTTGATAAATTCACTGTCTACAAAAGTTGAGCTCAAAGTAATGGTTTAGCGCTTTAGTTAACAATGTGTTCCCGGGGGTACGTCTGACAAAGTCAGAGGCGCGACTCTTACCAAAAAGGCATCCCTTCTTGGGGGGGGAAGAGAGGTTCAGGCCCGTCGACCCGTCCGTCAGGTGAAGTTCTCGCTTGGCTCCTCCTCCCAAAGAGAGTTTTCAAGTGCCAATTTTTATATGTTTGGAAATCTTTTTGCGAGGTGGGACTAAGTCAATTATTGTGTATCGATTGGCTCCCAAAGCAATCTCTGAAGCAATCTCTGGCTGCGCAGCCTCTGCGGTGCCCCACAGATCACTGAGTTTACAGTGATGGGCTATCCCCCCTTACTTTTGTCTGATAAGATAAGCACCAGTTATTTACTTCTTTTGTTAGCTCTTCGGCTCTTGACAACCTCAGTCCGTTTGTCTTTTGTCTTGCATTCGACAAGTCCAGCAAGGCCATCGATTACAATTACCTGTCAGCATGTTGCACTCAAATGCCTGGGGCAACTTGAATGGTGTAGTTCACACATTAGTGGTCTTCCTTTACCTGACAGTAATCTCAAAAATACAAACCCTTGCCACCTGGAATGTTTTCTGAGAATTATGATATCAAAGCACTTTGAGATTAAAAGATTTGTACATGGCTACCTGTGTTTCTGCCTTGTCAATTTCTTTATTAATCATGTTTCCCTCACTTTTTAAATGGAAGCTGTGTCTTCTCATCTTCATTACTTCAATCCATTTCTCCTTACACTGTGACAACAAAACCTCATCACCAAATCGGAAATACAGTACCTGTAAGAGCTAGCACATTAGGTAAAGATATAAAACTGAGAACCTGACATTTTTAATCTTAACAAAATACTAGATCCAAGAATATATAGCCCTGCGATTTCAGGCTGCTATGTTAACACTTGCACACAGATCAACTCATGCTGATACACAGCTGAATGCGTTGGGTTGCAGCAGTCCTCCGTACTGACCCAAAGAATCTCCAACAAATCTAAATTTAGGCTCATATTTTTCCTTTTTTCCTCCTTTTCCAGTTGAAGAGCTTTCTACACAATACATCTGCTGCGTGCTGTGTCACAGATTGAAATGCAGCCCTTCACTAGAGAAATTCCCAATGGGCTGGAAATACTTCCTCCACTGCAGAGGCGTTCCACACTGAGAAGAGGCTTAAACAGCTGGGAGGGTTCAAGGAAGGCTGTTATCAGCGTACTAGTTTCTACACAGGTTTAATTGTGTAGGACACACAAAGGCTGTTCTTTCGCCTGTATCCCCTGGAAAAGTGCAATGATGTAATCATATTGTCACCATGCCTTGTCACATTGAAAGAGGAAAGAAAGAAGATTTGTTCCATACTCTCAGTCTGTGGTCTAAAGCCCACTGGGCTTGCATGGATATATCTGGAGCAGTGGGAGGGAAATTTTAATACATACATTTAAGGGGTATTTACTAAAATTGTTTGCCACTTTCCATATTAATACTTGATGATATTGGGAGAAAGAAATTTCCAAATATGTGAAGTGTAAAGTAAAGCTTTAAGATAGGAGGAACAAAGGCTTGACTGCAAATTAATACATGATATTATGCCATATCCCTTTAACAAATACTAAGGCAACATGCATAAATACAGTAATAGGTAAATCCAAGTCTTAATATTGGTCCCTAAACAGAAATTGCTGAAATAGTGATGAAAGTAAAAGCATCAAACTAAGTAACTGAAACTCACTAGCAGCTTTCTTGCTAAACAAAGTGTTGTCCTGAAAGCAGGATTACATTTCTGTAATCCTAAAAGAGATTTCTCATCTCAATATATCTCAAAAGTGGTATGGAAATAAACAATTTCCCCTTTTGCTCTGGATTTTTGCATTTTATGAAAATATTTTGGTACTTTTAGTTAAAAGAATTACAGCCTGTTCAGCTAACCTATAAAAATACTGCAGTAAAGACAACATCTCATTAGAGCATCTCCCATCAGTTGATGAGATGGTAGCCAAACCACATCAGATCCTGATTCACAGATACCCGGTGGAGCTTCTGCAAGAACCTCCAAATTACAATACCTTTAATGACAGCAGCACTACCTTTACATTCAGCTAGGGAGCAATAAGAACGGAAAGCATTCTCTTTGCACAGGAGCTATTATAGACACAGAGTATCTTAGCAAAACTCTGCACTCTTAATAATCCCAGCTGTGAAGAAACTTTAAGTTAACAAAAATTCAAAACATCTACATGGTAGACTCATTTAAAGATAAATTTTGGAGGGAAAAGTGACTGGGGAAAGCAGGAAAAGAACACAGCAAATGTAATTAAAGGATATCAAGTAGTACATTTATTTCAGAGAGTAAGTCAGCTTCTGACAGTGAGATGTATTAGAATACAGTCTCTGAAGGTAAAGGATGGAAGGAAGGCCTGTTGCCCAAGATACTGAATGTTTGTACAGTGCCTAGCACAATGAGGTCCTGGTCCTTAGCTGGGGCTCCTAGGCGCTCCAGCAAAACAAATGTGTTAGGCTTTAGGAGAATGGACTGCATAAACAGTTTTGAAATGGCGTTCCACGACATGGACTAAATGACACCTAAGCAGCAGACTTCACCTAACTTGGTCCAGTAGGTGTTCTCCAACTCCAGTTTTATGATTCATTCTCCATCTACCCACCCGCTCCGTGCACAGTTAAAGCAATGTTCACTCATCCCACTGCAACATGGTGAGCCTCTAGGAGGAACGATCGATCCCACTTCAGTCACCACATATAAGAGGGCGGAAAAAAGAGCAGCTGGTCTCACCCTCCTCTACTCCAATAATAGATTCAGTGTCTGGCAGGTGCAGAGACTCAACACCAAGGCTGGGCTGAGAGTTCATGGAGATGAGGTTCTTACTATGCACTGCAGATTCTTCCAGCAGACTGCTGCCCATCAGTGACTCTATTGTGGAAAAAAAAGGGTAAACCAAAATTCTCATGATGTAATGATACTGCAATATACAATACGATCCCTGCCCGCCTCCAAGTCACATAGACTTCCTCCCTAGACACCTTCTTTATCCGTTCCGACTCTTTGGGCATCCGGCACTCCAATGGATGGTAACGCCTGTATTGATGGTTTGGAGCCTTAGTATGGCGGGATCCCATGCAGGCTTGGCTTTCTCTTTAAATATTTAAATACACATTGCATAAAAAACCAGGCTTCTTACAACAAGAACAAATAACAAAGGGCACAAATTCCACGTGAAAAAAAAGAACCAGATTCATGTTAATTTTGAAAACAATTGAACCTGTCTGCCCCTTCACCACAATACAGAAATACACCTTTGTCTTCTATCCTAGAAAAGGAGGGGGCGAGCAATCCATCCTCATGTCCAAGAGGAACAGTCTTTCACTCCTTACTGGCTTGTGGTCTCATATTTTCAGGACAAACATCGTCCCTTCTCTTTGACCATCCACTAATTCTTTCCCGCAGTTCTCCCCCAAAGAGAGTGCCCTCCCTCCCTTACCTGGCTGTTCTCGCTCTCTGCTGCCAGCTGTTCCAGCTCGGGAGTGGTGTTTCTTCATATGCACATTTCTGCTACCACTCTGGGAAAATGTCTTCCCACAAATTTGGCACTGATGGGGCTTCACTCCTTGGAGTAGAAGGGGGAAAATATCCCAAGAATTACCAAATTGGGAACAAAGACCTCATCAACCAAGAAGCCAATAATACTGTTTTGAAACAGCTGTTGACACCACTGGTGCTAATTATCGCTGAGAAAAACAAATCAGAAATATTCCTGTTTCCTGGAGAGCAATAAGCTTCCAGAACAGAAGAGTTTTAGGTATCAGTACTGTCAGCTGTTGGAAATCTCAAGTCTGTAGAGGAACATAAAGTCTTTGAGTCTGATTTACGAGAGGCAACAAGTTATTTGCACTCTCTGACTCAGTGACATGGAAATATTTGATGACCCATACCTAGAATAAAATGACCAAAGGCAAGGAAGCTGTCTCCTGCCATCACACAACAAATTGCAGCATCTCATCT